GGTTCCGGAGATAGTAACTTCTCGGCCAGAATTTTCACGGGTCATGAGTGATACCCGGAAGCGCAGGAACGCTGAATTTAAATTTGCGAAGTGGTACGTGGGCAGAGGGTTATTATCCTAAAGTTTCAGCTTCCTGGATTCCGTGGTTTCTGAGATGATTTCCTCGCAAAAAGTTTCGCGGGACCGCACTTGTTACCCGCCGCCAGGCCAAGGCTAAATTTAAATTTGGTGGGTCACACGTGGACGGGGAATATTCTCTTATATTGTCAACTAAGTTTTGTAGTCCCCGAGTTGAAAGATGTGGACACGATGGTCGGAAACACACACATACACACAAATGTACACAGACAGCCTCGTGACAATATGCGTTTTGTACAACTGTTGCACAGCAAAAAACGCATAAGAACTGAGGCTGTTCTAGTGGAAATTGTTCTAATAAAAACCCATCATCAATAAGGGACTTCCTTATTTATGGAGCTGAGAGCGAGTAATTTCCACTATAGGATGTGAACTGGGAAAAAACGGTGTAGGCTGAATGCATGGGGATGAAATCAGCCTTTGCTTCTGTGAGATTTTGAAGACAAAAAACAGAGGTGAATTGTTGTGCACAGTTGCAGGCTGCTAAAGGCAACGTAAAGGAAACGAGTGCAATTTTCGTCAATCGAACTTATTTATCCTCAGCTTCATCTAAACATCAGCTTCATAAGTACAGAAACCACTTATTGAAGATGGGTTTTTGTAAGACATTTCCTACTCGCATAAGCTCAATTCTCGTTTGCTTTTGCTTTTGTTCACAGGTTCCAATTCTTTGATTTCGCTTTTTTCCTTTTATTTATAAGTTTAAGTTTTTTTTTAAATTACTTTTCTTTGTAGTGCTGTGTTGGATTCTTTTCTTAGCTGCTGTCTGCAGTTCTTGCCTCGAACTCTTGATTAGTGCCTTTGTCCCCCTCCTTCATCCTGTCCTCAGTTCCTGTTACCAGAGCCGCATCGGGGCACCCATCGTGCACCACCCCCAACCACCGTCACCACCTATCGTCCCGAACTTCTGACTAACACTCCCGTCCGTCCTACCCCCAACCGTGTCCTTGAGTTGTACCCAGACACCTACTAACTACCATTCTCCAACCACACGACCCAGCCAAACACTGGGTAGCGCTACCCAGCACCTTTGGCAAAGCGCCGAGCGGTGCCGGCGAGCGATGCCGCGAAATGGTGTTGACAGGGACAGTAGAGCGCCTTCAGAGTACAAGTCGGACGAGGCCGAGGTTTGGTTATTGTCTTGGCAATTACAATAAATAGCCAACGCACGGACTGCCCGTGCGAAGATGCGTTTTTTGCAGAGTTCCCCGCAAGTTTTTGTCGCTACCGGCATCGGTTTTTCGGCAGATACTTCTAGCTGGAAGAATTTCAGACTGGCCGCCAGAACTGTCAGGAAACATCCCCTCAAAATTCCAATCTTCTAGCTT